GTAAGATAGCATGCAAATGGTTCAAGCCCCATTGGCACGGGGCGTGAGTCCTCTTAAGTCACGGTATCGAGGTTCGTGACAATTTTCCAGTGTGTTTGGGTGCAGCGTCTCTCTTTGCGGGTCATTCCAAACAATCTCAACAGGACCATGAATAGAACATAAATAAAGACGGGACCTGTAGCTTGTACACTGTTGCCGAATGTCAAAGCAAGTGCATAATGTTTGGTACATATATATATATACACACAAACAGGACAAACGTAAAAAAAATTGGCAACAGGCCTGTGAATAGATGACCTACAAGCCTTTCCCCTTAGAATCCTACAAGGGATCGCAGTGGAGTTCCTGCGGATTAGATTCCGCCCCGCCGAAGTGTTAAATATATATATATATAATTATATAATATTATATATATATTGCATTAAGATTATAACCCCGAGCACCCTATTAAAAAGAAGACCCCTATTGAAAAAGAGTTATGCCGGAAACGGTTTATATTCGTTTTAAATTACCGCCCCTCAAGCTGCTACTAAACTTGCCGATTTTTTAAATTAGGGTCCCCAAAATCTCCCTCTTGTAGTAGTAGTAGTAGTAGCAGTAGTAGCAGTAGTAGTAGAAGTAGTAGAAGTAGTAGAAGTAGTAGTAGAAGTGGCGGTAGCAGTAGTGGTAGTGGTGGTGGCAGTAGTGGTACGTCAAGCTCAACCAAGCGCTGCACCACGAAATCTGCATGTCAAGGTCAACAAAGTCCTGCACCTGCCACGAAATCTGCGATTCAAGGTCCACTAAGTACTGCGCCTGCCACGAAATCTGCGCTTCAAGGCCCACAGAGTACTGCACCTGCCACGAAATCTGCACTTCAAGGTCCACAAAGTACTGCACCTGCCACAACATCTGCACTTCAAGAAACACAAAGTCATTAATTACTGCACCTGCAATGAAATCTGCACTTCTAGGCCCACAAAGTATTTCACATGCCACGAAATCTGCACTTCCAGGTCAACAAAGTACTGCGCCTGTCACGAAATCTGCACTTCAAGGTCCACAAAGTACCGCGATCCTTCCACCGCCCCTTTTTTGGACCACCCCGATTTCAGGGACCCCCTATTAACAAAAAGGCGACCGAGGTTTCCTTATCAGGGGGCGGCGCGTGTTTTTGGTGGGTGGACAGGATTAATTTTGTTCGGGGTGGAAAGCATTCCGTCCTGAAGTGTTTGTTGTAAGAATATCAATATATATATATATATATTATGCAGTACCTTTGAAAAACATAACCTTACAGAACCCTTCTGTGCAGAACCTCCTCCCCCGGAGAAGACCACGACCTCTGCGTCTTCACATCGAGACGTGCCTGTGCTTGCAACTGAAAGCTCTTCGCGGAAGCCTCCCAGGTCGATCTTCACATCGGGTCGGATGTGGGAACCCGGGAAAAACCATTCCCCGATGGTGGGGAGCGACCCAGGGCGCTTTCGATGTTTAAAAATATTGAGGTTCCCAATCTATGCCCTTATAAGAGATCTTCTAAAGCATCTTGCAGCCCTAAACGCGCAACTAAAGGCTCCGCCAGGTAGCAGGTGGTGCGAGAGACATCGCTTGAGTCATTGACCAAGGGGGGCGACCGAAACAAGAATTGGACGTGGAGATCGGTTTGGTGGCGTGTCTCCAGATCCCCTGCTCGCAGATTTTGACATGCGACCCAAGCCGTAGTGACTTGGGACTTGGGACAGGCCGCCACATGCACCACGGCACGAAAAAACACCGCTCCTCCAAGTTATTCCGCTGCAACCCTTGCTCGGCCAGCGCCTAGGCAAAAGCAATGTCAAAGAGCATCACCATTTCTTGGATTTGCTGTCCAGGAGCCCAGAAAAGTTAAATATATTCCGCAAACAGGGGTTCACCCAGAGGGAAAACAATAGAACAAAACAGCCGTTGCATGTTTTGGGAGCGGCAACTCAGGCCTCAAACAGTGCATCTGTCAAAACAAAAGGGTCGATAGACTTGGGGCAAATATATACTGGGTAGGAACGACAAACATTGAAGAATAGGAAAAGTGGAAAAAGAGTAGGATCATTCTACTAACATCTGCTAACTATCTCCTATGTACCCCCTTGTTGTTGACATGATGTTCACCATGTTTGTCATTGTTTGTCTTGTGTGCTTTGCCTCTTCTCTCTCTCTCCCTCTCTCTCTCTCTCTGTGTCTGGCGGGCATGACTCGTCCCGGATTGCACTGTTTCCATGTGTTCACTATTTTTCACCGGCTTTCCATTCTTGTATACAACGTTCTTCCTAGATATGCTTATAAAAAATGCAAATCATATACATATATGCACACTATGTTTTCATTTATTGCTTGTCCTACTTGTTCTGTATGCTTCAGCCATATTACTTATGACTTTGTTTAGTTGGGTCTCCCAATTTTTGCATAGCTGGTCAACATAAAACTAGTAATTGAGAATAGACATACAATTACCGTCATTTCCTAGTAGAATGCCACAAAATGGAACCAGTCACCAGCCAAACGCTTCTCAAAGCCGCATAATCTTAGTTGCATCCATCATGATCGTCGCATCCCCAGCATCCCAGCACCTCGTCATGGCACCTCTGGCCCACCGAAATCGCACCAAAAACGACCGCGCCGACCGCGCCGACCGCCGGGCGGAAGGCTCCCTTTTGCGAAGCGGGCGGTTTGTGGTCCATGCATCCTCGGTCCGACTTCAGGAGTCTCAGGAACCATCGTCCGGAGGCATGGGAGGCATAGATGTCGTTGGATCATCAGACGGCGGCGTTCATTGGCGTTCATTCGCCCCAGGAACTGCGCCAGGACATGGGCAGAAAGCCAGGTGGGTCGAACCGCTTTCAGCGTGAACGCGACGGCGCACATGTGAACGCGACGGCGCTGGTGAAGGAGGCCAAATCCGACGATGGACCTGAACAGCGAGTTACCAAGTGCCGGCTGGATTTGTGGCTCCGAACCGGGGAAAAACATGAAAACATCTTGGCCGGGCATTCCCCCTGTTTGGGCTAAATCACTCCCTCCGACCGCAAAACCAAGCAGCCCATCCCCCCCAAGAGCCTACCAATGTCTACCACAAAAATGGCCTTACGAGTGCAATTAGCTGCTTGAGATCATGTCAGGCGGGGCACGTATGGAGGCGTTATAGGCGTTATATGGAAAGAACATGGCACTTCCAACGTGTTCCAATCAATGAGATGACTCATGGCGCTTGAACCAAACAGTGTGATGTTCATCACTCAGGACCACGCACGAAAACCATCTGACACAACCGACTGTTGAGGGTTCAGTGCGCGGCGGCTTGCGACTCGAGACCAAGCATGTATAATGCATACCCAAACACTCCATGTATGGAATGTATGCCTACATTGAACCCTGAAAACACCCCAATGTAGGCAAATATGCCATACATGGAGTGTCTGGGATAAACATATATATATATATATTAGAAAGAAAGTGCCAAATAAAACTGACCGGTGCGACTCAATAGGAATGAGGGTGGCTGGAACCTAGGGCCTAGGGCATAAGGTATATCATATAGTAGAAAATCATTCTCTTATGTTTAATTAATATCAAACAGAAGATGCCTGTGACCTATGTAGTGCGATCCAGGTCATCCAACGATCACTCCTCAAAACGCCCCTGAACTCAACTAAGGGTCGCAGAAAAGCGCAGCTGGAGCCAGGGCCACAGACCAGTTCCAGCAACCAACATCTCTCAACTCTCAACAGAACCAAAGTAAACACTTCCCCTTGATCTCGCAGGATGGTGCGGGGAAGGTTCCAAAAGCACTTTGTTTCTCCCGCCTCTTCGGTTGGGAGCTGCCGACACATGCTGGCCGCCAGGCCGCATCAGGTCTGCTCGTCCTCACGTCAAACGAACATGGTGCATCTTTTCCTGAGGCACTGCGCACATGCGTTTCAGTGGGTCATCACCTGTTCATCCCATGGCATGTCTAGCTCAGTCCTGTGACCCGAACCAGCCATGCACATAACAACTCCTTTGGTTGACTTCTGCCGATCTTGTGACACGTGTTCCAACTTGCAACCCTGGGAGCTAAGTTGGGAGCTCCCAGCCCACCAAACAAAACATGAAGGAAAACCTATGGGTGTGATGAAGTGTGATGTGCCAAAATGATGGCTCTGATCTCCAGGGTTTTTCCCTGGTCCTTGTCAGATGTGGCCCAGGATTTCACAATGTACAGGGCGTGTGCCACCTTGGTTTGCAAAAAAAACGTGGATTCATGAATTCATTGAACAATGAGCGCTCTATGAATCCATCTAACAACAAGTGAAGTGGATCATGGACAATGTTCCAAACATCCTATCACTGTTCTCTTTTTTGTCCGTCTTTGCACCAAAATCTTGGCTCCCTCCCTCCCTGCCTCCCTCCCTCCCTCGCTCTCTCTCTCTCTCTCTCTCTCTCTCGCTCTCTCTCTCTCTGTCCCTCCCTCCCTCCCTCCCTCCCTCCCTCCACCACAGTCTCCCCGAGATCAGCTTCCGTTGAAGGGAAATCATATCGATTGAAGATTGGGCAAGCATGAGCCAGATGTCAAAAAGAGTCTGAGTCTGAGGAGTCCAAAGGGACAAGGCTTGTACTTATTATTTATTTATGATTGAAATCAACTCGGATTTCCTGAAGTGTGCAAAACAATCTATCAGGCTATACCTGAGAAGCTGCAAAGCGAAAGCCAGCGTTTTTACTTTCGAGTGTGCTTTCTCAGGCCACCCCCCCCGAACCCCCCTTCTTACTCAGCTGGCGCCTTGCCAGGTATAGATACCCAGGGTAGCTACAATTCAGTTGCCAGGTATAGTACTTCCAGTTCCCTTTCCGTCAACCGCTCGATAACCTTCTCATTCGTGCCTTGAACTTATATGTGTGTAAGAGGTATAGCAACATGGCATTTACACGGGCCCAGGGTAGCTACAATTCTGTTCCCAGGTATCGCGCGCATGAGACTTCAAAGCTGCGGATTGCTGTGCGTGTGTAGAGGTTATCGAGCGGTTGATGGAAAGGGAACTTGAAGTACTCTACCTGGTAACTGCACTATAGCTACCCTGGGTATATATACCTGGCAAGGTGCCAACTACACCTTACCATTCAGATGGTGCAAATGATGCAAACTGCATTTCTTGCATCACCACCCCTCAAAAATCACCTCCAACACAACCTCAAAAAACCTTCAATCCGTCCACCCTCCTCCCCCAGCATTTGCCGAGTTTACGTGTACCTTTTGCCTAACTACTCACTTCGTTCGCCAAGCACAACTCAGCTGGCGCCTTCTACGAAGGCTGGCTTTCGCAATTATATTGCAAGCACCTCTGATGCCCCAAAGCTGCAAAAACATCATATCAAATCACCTGACGTTGATTCATGAATCTCATGGAACTCTCTCGCTCTCGCTCTCTCTGTCTCTCAAGTGCTCTAGAGTAAAGTACTTCCCAGGCAGTTGCCTCTGTTGGAAATGATTTTGGCTTCACACTGTTGGCTTCACCCCGGCTCCTCCCAAACCCCACCGGCTAGGCCGCGTGTAGCCGGAACTGGGCCGTCCATGGCAACTCCCAAAGCCACCTGGGCGTGCGGAGTGAACAGCCACACCCAGCTTCTTCCAAATTTAGCTGAACAAACCGTTTGGGAGCCCCTGATTCAATAGGCAAGCCAAACATGTCAATTACATTCAAAACCCAAAGTGGGAAACCTTAAACAACTAGCAAGCGGTTAGGGAACTCCCTCCAAAAAGGGGTTGCATGTTCATAGGAGAATCTGGTGGAAATATATGGATACCTCCGGGGACCCTCATCAATCCCACCAGCGAGGATGGGGCATGTTCTACTAAGCCATGGAGGAGGAATATCTACTACAGAGGTACAGCTAGAGTCTGAATCCGCATCGGACACCTGATCTCAAGGGAACCTATACAACTGGGAGACTGGTGGTGCCGTGGATATCAGATAGGGATACCGGGATGCCGCAGATGCAGAGCAGATGGCGTCTTCCACCCGCCACGGTCGCAACGGAACGGACGACTCCACCGAGAAGCCGCTCTTCCACCGTGAGCAACGCCAGAAGCATCAGCGGCAGTGTTGGTCCAACAGCATGGCGCTGCCACCAAGAGCATTGCACGAGGCGATCCACAAAGGACTCAGGCACCTGAGTATGAGTACAGTACATGTTCACACTGTAAGAGGATACATATCATATCCCTAGAAGTCCAAATACTATATTTTGACCGACCGAGTTTAAAAAGGAACTTCCTTTTCGGGTCACCTAAAGACAATTCTTTGTATAGTCTTTGACTCTCAGGGATATAATATACATCTTAGCATGGGGGGACCTCAACAATTGTATACCCAAAGACTCGACGTATGAAAATAGAACATGCAAGACCTACTTGGCTTATTTTGACCAAACCGGCCCCAAACAGCCCCGCTCCAGGTAAACCGCCACCTGTGCCATTGCCTTGACCCCCTGGCACCACCCCCAACTGATCGGCGTGGGTGCGGACGTCTGACCGGGCGACCGGACGACCGCGGGGCGTGCGGGCCGAATGATCGAGGCGCGGAGGTTAGGAGGTACCAGTACCATCGAGTGGCGGGATGAGACATTTTTAGGTCAAAAAACAATAACAAAAATAATCAAAACACACTTCCCTAAAACAGAGAGCGGTAGCCCCATGCGCTGTACTTTTTTCACTCCAACAATGGATCTCGAGCAGCTGTCAACATCCATGTGCCTCGCGACAGCTGAGGTGGCAATTTGACGATCGGCTCGAAAGGGCTACTGCGGAG